GCCCGGCTGCTTCTCGGTAGCGCTGCGCTGCTCGGGACGTGTAGCCTGCTAGGGGCCCTCCGCGCCTCTGCTCCTCAGTGCCTCCTCCGAGTTTTGTGGGGGGTTCCTTTTCCTTGTTGCCTTCCGACTGCAAACTTCTTGCTGGGATTGAGGAAATAGATGTGGGTAAATGATACCGCAGCGCACAGCTCGCACCTCTGACTGTCCTTAGAGTTGCTTCGGTGTGAATAGCTGTACACAGAGAAGGGAATGGCTTAAGCTGTGGGTAGCTTGAATTTTGTGTTTCGTTGTAATGCTGCTTACTGAGCTAAGCAAGGTTGCCAAACGCGGTGCGTCTGATCTGGTTGGAGCGCTAGAAACTACCATTCAGAACCAACAGTACACCAAAACTCGAGCACTGCAGATGTTTTATTACTATGTGCAAACATTCAACAGCCTTGCGTTGCTTTCTGTGATTTCATGTGACAGGTTTTACAATGATTGGATTGGGCTGTCAGTTTCAAACAGTTCAGGAGAGCATGAGGCTGAATGGGATGTCCTGGTATCGCTGGCAGCTTTACGGTGTAATCTTGTTTGCAAATTGATCCAATTTATCTTGAAATCTAGCTTTGCAGAGTGTAAGGACTCTGGGCCTTTTATCTTCTTCTGCATCTCCTTACTATATCTTGTGGCTATATAGTTGCATTTCTTATGTTTATGATGTGAAAAATTTATGTGGAAACAGCAAAATAAGAATATAAATGCTGAATGCCACTGGTGGAACAACGCTCAGTAACTCTTCTGCTCCTTTATCCGCTTCTAGTAAGTGATTCTGTCAGAAGCTCATAACACCTTCATATTGAAGGTGAATGAATGGTGAGTCTTAGTATTGTTGTTTTTTTCTTCTAAGTTTCAAGTAGAAACAGATTGCAGGAAACCCACAGCATGTTAATAGCAGATGAAAAAGAGTATTTTTTCAGCTCTTACTGAGTACAATTGAAAAGATATGTTCTTAGCTTTTCCAAAACTACTGAGGTCAATAGAGCAATTTGATACTGTCCTAGACAGGCATAACCAATACCTTGATGAAAAATGTTACTTTCAAATGTTTGCTGATATTTAGCTAAAGACTACATTGAAAAGCTACAAGAGTGAAGTTCTGATCATTTGTAATTATTGTCTAACTGAATGGTTAAGATGCTGATTTTGGGTAAGCCAGGAAAAGACCACTGCTAAAAACCTAATGGTCAAGAACTAGCCTGGATAGATTTTTTTTTTTTTTTTTTTTCCTGAATTACAAAGTAGACACACTAAACCTCTGTCCTCACCCAGATGTCACTAGCTCAAAACCCGTATCAGCTGACTGAATGGTAATCAACGACTATGCAGTTTGGGCGATAAAGTGTCTGCTCATATATAATCCATGAAGTTCTGTATCTTGATCAAACTTCCATGGACAGCTACAGAAAGATACTGGGGCAGAAAAGATGGGTAGTTGAAGCTGCCTTTGACTTACTAACTCTGGTGATTGTCTTCAGGGCGAAGAAATCACATGGAATCAGAAACATATTATGCTTCTTTTAAATTATAAGCTTTGGGTGAACAACATGAGTTATTTTTCTTTTGAATAAGACGGGAATCTGGTAAACAACAGTTAATTTTCATGTTAAACAAGGTATAGTTGAAAACAAGTTAGAGAAAACATTTATAGCGGAACTGTTTTTCCATCTCACATGAAACACAGCATTTGCACCTGGTCTTTGAGATGTCTTAAAAGAAAGCACGCTTAATTTGCCTAAGTAAAACATGAAATTGTTCCCAGACTTGGTACTTAATGTACTTTAAACGGCATCTTGATAAGCATATATGAAATCACCTGAAATCAGGCTTGCAAAACTCAGTACCTGTGAGATCAACCATAGAGGCTGGGGGACTAGTTTATTCTCTGTTACCATCGTGGGTTTGTCCTTTGTGGGCATCATGGTTCTGCAATTGCTGCTAAACTTCTGAGAGATACAGATAGATACTTCTGAAAGTCATATCGTGCACTTTCCATGGAAGTACTTTTGCATAAAAGAAATTGGCTTGTCTAATGCATTTCTTGTAAGTGGCAGTTGAGAAGTTTTGTCTTTAATTCCATAATCTCCTGTGCTACCTGTCACACACTGAAACATTACTTAGCTAACAAAATCCTCTGGTACTAAGAGAACAAGACAAAGCATGCATTTCTTTTCTCAAAGAGATTATGTCAGTGTCTTTGAAACTCAGGCATACTAGTATAGTCACTGCAGATGAATGAAATTGGTAGCATCGTGAGAATTGCTGTATTTTAGTCAAAAGAATGAAGTAGATGGGATTGTTCAGTGGTTTTGCAGTTTTTCTGAAGAGAACTGTCCTCAACATGCATTTTGGCTTCCTTCACTGTAGGAATTAAAACAACTGTTTTGTTTGTTTTTTCCTTATGTGGTCCGAGAGAGGACTTGCCTACTGCAAATGAGATGACAAAGCCCTGGAAGAGGCTGCCCAAGGAAGTGGTGGAGTCACCATCTCTGGAGTATTTAAAAGACATATAGAGGTGGTGCTGAGGGACATGGTTTAGGGGTGACATAGCAGTGCTGGTTAGCAGCTAGACTTGATGTTCTTAAAGATCTCTTCAAACAGAGTCCTTCTATGATGTAATAACGAACTTTTGGCATCAGGGGGACAATCTGGGATGGACACTGCACATCATCAGTGTACAAATCAGTGGATTTAAACTGGAAGATATAAAATTGAACTAATTGTTTTGTTCATTCAAACAGAAAATGTTTAGAAAATCAAGCTTAATACCCATTGTATCTAGGACTTTAAAGTCTGGAAAAAGGGCATAGAATTTGATTTGTATTTTATATCTTCTTGGTCAGTGGAGGCAAATGGAGATGTATGTGGAGAAAAGTTTTAAAAGTACTTGGGAGAATGCTGAATATTCGGGGTAGTATTTAAAATTGGAAGTTTTAACAGAGTAATGTGAAAAGGTATGTAAGATTAGTATGCTGCTGAACTAGAACAAGGTCATCAGATGGACAGCTGGAATGAACCCAACTTTGTTGCAATGCACTGCAGCATGTGTACATCAAATTTTTAATTTGGAGTAGAAATGCACTTAAGAATGGTGTCTTCTGATCACTGCCACTTAAATACCCTTTGGTTTGTGTCTGGCTGTCCCAGCACATACAGCTGGATTCCTCTCGGGTTAAACCAAGCAGCAAGATGGGCCCAAAGAGCACACCAAATACAATCTAACAACTGCAGGGTCCCTAGGACAAAATTAAAGCTGGTGTGCTGTTATTTGTCCTGCTTATGTAGCTGTAGCTTTTACTGTGGGTACTACTTAGAGAAACTCTTCAGATAATTAACTTTCTTTTTTTACACTTCAGTTCTGAGGAAACAAACATAAGAAATAGGAGGGGAAAAACATTTGAGATCATTGAACCTTCTGAATCTTTGAAGACAAAAAGTTCTTTTCCTGATCTATAAGGAATACACCTTTTGTTAAAATTCTAAGTTTAAATGCAAGTCATGTTTCAATATACTCATTGTTTACACCACCAAGTGAGAATATTGTAATTTCTTTTTTTTTTTTTAATTTATTGTATTAACTGGTGAGCTTTTCTTTCTATTTCCCCCCCCAACCCAGAATGTCAGGTTTCTTTCCATCTGCAATGCAGGCATGATTTCAAAAAATCCAAGGCATACTCCCTCATTCTATAATGCACATGAAAAAAAGGGAAATGTAATTCTTTTGGGTTTTGCTGACCATTAGGTGGTTGTAGAAACATCAAATTATGCTGGCCTCTAAGGTCGTTTTTTTTTATTTTTATATATTTTCTCCAGTAAAACTCAAATAAGTGACAGCAGTTATTGAAACGGGTATTAAAATATTTATTTATTTATGTATTTTTAAATTAAGCCATTTGGCTTATTTTCCTTTTTCTGTTCAACTTAATGCAAACAGACTTTTTATGCATTTGTAACCTTTGCCAGTCTTGGAATATAAAACACTTGATGACACCATCAAACCAGAGATGTATGTCAGAAGTTTGTGGCTTTAGGGAAAATATTGTTCTGTCTTGCGAAATACTGACTCAGGAGAAATGACTGAAGCATTTAGAAAGTGATATTGATATTTAGAATTGTTTAGCTGTTTACTTAGACCTCATGAAATAGCTACACGTCCAGCATCTGAAAAGTACAGTAGTTCTGATAATAGGAAGCTTTTCAGTGTGCTCTGAAATTATACAAACTTCAGACTTTCCCATGAAGAAGAAAAAAAGCTCAAATATGATAGCCCACTTTCTGTCACAAAAAGAAAAACTCAGCTGTGAACAAATTGAGAACTACTGTGTCTGTAAAGTACACAAACAGAGCTGCACTGAGGCTATTGCTTCCTGAGGCTGACCTGAAAATCTTCCTACTACATTTACTTGATTTCATTGTTGCTTTTTAAAATCCTATTGGCAGCAGCCAATATGGTAAGAATGTGATGAGTTTTAACTTTGGAGCTTCTTGGTCAGCAGTGGAGGCTTCTGAGCTGGCTGTTGCACTGGTCAGTGGTCCTCCCTGTCCCTTCCGAGTAGATAAAATGTGTGCAACTTCAGGCAATCAAAGTGTATAGTATGCAGATGTTCAAAAAACACCCAAACCCAAACCAAAATGCAACATTTACATGTAAAAGTTTGGGGGTACTTTTATACTATTAAGGCTTATGTAGAAATGTTGAAGAGGGTGAAACTTATAGTGAAGAATACTTCTGTTCTTAAGTTAGCTGTCAAAAACACTTTCTGTGGTTGCTTTAAATGGAGAATGGACTGAAATTACTTTCTGCTTCTCTTCACAGGCTGAAGAAAAATGGCTTCCTTCAGCAACCTGACCATTGGCATTGCTGTTGCCAGTTTTACTGTATTTCAACTCCTGTTTCATGTTTTAAGTTCTTGGGTGTCAGCACGAATAACACCTGGTTTTAACAATCTTAGCCAAAAAAGGAAGATCGAATGGAATTCAAGGTAGAGTGTTCAAAACAAACTACAACTAATAACTTACCTGAAATTGTTAACTACTTGTTAACAACTAGCCTGAACTACTGGTTAACTAGTCTGAACTACTTGTGTGTGTATTTATATGTTAAATGTCTGTGAGGATTAGAGGGATGGCTCCAGGCACTTGACAAGTTCTGAATGTAAAATGGTGAGGCCCCTTCTTGAACACACAGCATTACAAACCCTTGTACCTTAAACACTTTGTTAGACAGGGATGCCTCAATGAAAGTCAGTAAAAAAAAAACCAATGACTGGTGAGAGGTTAGTAAACTGAAGTGGATTAATTTTAAATGGTTTCTCTGTGACACTCCTAGTAAATAGAAGAGGTACAAAATTCCTTTCCCCCAAACATACATGAAAATCAAAACTATTGAAATTTATTCTGTGATCTAAATGCTAGTGTATCTCTGGTCATGGTTTTAGATGCAAAGCAAATTGCTCTCTGTTCACCTGGTGCCTCCTACACTACAACCTCTTCTACGTAAGTTAGTTTTGCAAGAAATTCAGTGAATCTTTGGTGTAGTATTGGAGTGAGGCAGGGTTAGACAGGTACATCTGTGTCTTGGTGGGGAAGGAGACTGCAAGACAAGGAGGGGGAAGCTATGACAGACACACGGTACACATTCAGGATGGAGTTCTGGAAACTCAGTCTAAAATCCTTCCTCACTTTTTTGTGTTTCTGCAGTTCCATCACTGGGGTGGAGACTGCATTACACTTGTCTCCTCAGAGCACTGTTAGAAACTTGTTCAACTCTGTGAATCTGCACTGGGTGCTTCCCTCTCTTAAGCCATAAAAGAAGTCTAGGGCAGTAATTGCAAATGGGATGATCACGGAGGTTTTTTTTGCAATATACTACTCGGAAAGGGTGTATATAGTATGCGGGGATCTCTGGTTGAATTGATTAGATACAGTTGAACTTTATGCTTGGGTTAGTCTGTTTCAACAAGAAAATATTTTTTCAGGTTCTTCTCAATTTTGAAGCTAAAAAAATATGTACTATATGGCACTGCACTCAAAATGCATTAGTCATATCACTGGTCCTCAGTGCTGTTTAAAGGCAGCATCAGGTGGATACTTTTAAAGTTTTTTCCATTGTTCTGGGCAGCATTAGCAACTAAAATAGTCTTGCTCTTCTGTTTGGCAAATGTCCACCTGTGGTGTTCTTAAAGGCACCATCTTAATTTCACTTTGATCTTTGAATAATTGCCTATCTGCTAGAACAACTTTGTAGGATGCCAGTTAATGATATCAGTGCAGATTACATTTATCTCTGTTACAATTGACAATAGAGGCAAACAGAGAAGCTAAACTAATCTGTTATCGGGTTGGAACTCCTGTCTGTAAGCCACATCAAGTGACCCTTGAATTGCATAACGGGCTTTCTGAGAACTTATCCCATGCCTGGTAGCACTGTGCTAAGTTGTGGTGCTTTGCATAATGACATATGAATTGTTTCATACATCACAAGTGTGTTGGAAATAAGCTGCCCTGTAATTTCTGGGCTGCTTTGTAGTAAGGTGTTTTAACTGCTCAAGCTGATACAGCACCCCAGTCAGTATCTTTTTTTTACTTTCGACATTTTTTTCTTGGAGTTGATACAGGATGTAGATGTTAGAACACAAATCAGTTGTGGTCCAGTGCTACATCCAGTCCTGGAGTTAAAAAGGCATGAAACACAAAGCATGGCTCATCAACAGCTTGTTGATGTTATACTTGAGGAGGGCATGAAGTGCTTTGTCAAACTGCTTCATCACTCAAGTGTTTCACCAAAACGAGAGACACCCCAAGGTGTTTCTTACATGTTCAGAGAATGTAGATGGACAAGTATATACTCTGCAGTACAGATAAAGAAAGTTATTATATCTCCCAGTAAAATAAGTTGGGTTAACGTAAATGTTTTAAAAGTAGATGGTTGTTATTTTGCCCTGTGTTGAACTGGTGTTGGGAGTGCTCACACAAATGTTTCTATTGGCAGTCCTGAAGGAAACTGGCACAGAGGATGGTTATGCATTTTTATCAGCTCAGCTGGGTCTGGAAGAGGGCATCTGCCCGAAATGTGCCGTAGCATTGAAAATATATTGTTACAGTTTGGAAGCTTTTGTAAGGAAATGGTTGAGCTGCAGCTCTGCACTGTGTGTTCCATACTGTCGATTTGTTCATTCTGACCTTCCAGGAATTAAGAACAAATAAAGCAATTACTTCTGAAACCTTAACTATGCAGATGCTCAAGTTGAGTTAAAGACTGTACTTTGACACAGACGTAGTATAACTTTTCAATTTGTCGTTCAGAAATTCCTGTCATGTCTTCTGTAATAAATCTTTGTACTGCTATTAAGGAGTTGTAAAAAATATGTTCAATACTAAAGAAACAAGCGTGCAACTTATCAGTGCAACTTTTTTCTTTGCAGTGTAATGAGGAGTTAAAGGTTGCAAGCCTTGACAGCAATTTCAAGGAAGTGTACAGAGCTTGATAGCTTGACCTAGATTCCATATTAAAATGGAGTGTTGCACTATTCCCCTCCCTCTGTCCATTCTATGGAGAAGCTTCAAAGTCTGGAGTAAATGGGAAAATCTGCTTATTTTCTTCATCCTCCTGCCCCCCCTCAAGTGCTGTGCTTGTGTATAGCTTGTATTCTAAAACACCAAGGTTTGGACAAACAGCCACTCCCGAGACAAAGTGCAACTGTAAACTAATGAACGATATTCTAGGGCACAATTTACTTCTTTCAGCATTTTACTCTCCTAAAGTTCAAAATTCCCAGTTATTTCTCAAGCAAACTTCCTACTTCTCTGTTAATTCTGTGTTGCAAGAGTAGACATTTTAATTAAACTATACTAATTAAATCTTAAAAAAAAATATGGGGGGGGAGAGCAGCCTGTTCTATAATGCTTAGTAAAAGTTCTTATTCAGCTTGATACATTTGACTATTCATATTATATTAATCTCTATTTAATTTTTGGAACACTGTAGAAAAAGCTGCTGAAAATAGAATGATGACAGTTGTTAAATTGTAAGTAGAGACTTCTTTTATGAAAGGTTACAGAATCTTTTAATGCCAATAGGCAATAATGGAACTTCTGGAAACAGATGAGGGATTATAACCTAGTCTTTCTTTACAAAGCCTTCTGCAGGAAGTAAGATGTTTTCTTCAGATCTCGTGTGGTAGAGTGACTTATGCATATTTAAAATATTACCTTTCAAATACATGTATTCAATATGTACAAAGGCGAGCCTAATGACTAACAGCATTTATACATTTGTGTGCATATTGTTAATGCTGTGAGTATGGGGCGAAGGTGTTTCAGCATCGAACTTGGAGTTCTTATTTTTCAAATAATGTCCATGATTCTGTAGAGCTATTTTGGCACATAATTATTTTTTCTTCCTAGGCCCACGTGAAAAGTGGGAAAGCAGTCAAAGGCGGTCAGTAGCTACACACTATTAGGTGGCAGTTTATAGTAGTGTTAAACCCGTGGCTAGAGGAACAAGGTTACACATTTTGGACTTAAGCCCATTGCATTGTTCTACCTTCCAAGAATACATGTGGACTCAAAAGGGCAGAACAGCCCTGGGCTGCATGCTGGCAGAAACCCTGTTGGGGGCCTCTGTAAATAGGTGATTCTCTTAAAGTGCTTGTTAACATTCGGAGTTGGTCTACAGTGTACATGAAACCTGTACTCTTGAGACTCGTGTCTTTGGAAGAAAAAAATGTTTAGTACCCATGTATGGACAAGGCAACTCTGATTAGTGTAACTTTATGTAAGACAAGAGGAGCATAAAATAAAGCTGGGAGCTGCCAGTTCATATGACCCTGTAGCTGTTACACCCCAGATAGTCAGCTACAAGCTTTTGTTGTACAAGCTTTCTCTTGGAAAACCAGAATCTACTTCAACTGCAGTAGAATTCTTTTTGAAGCTTTCCTTGATAGGATTTTTTGTTTAATGCCTCTCTTTCAAAAACCCAAACTTGGCAGATTTATTATGAGTCGTCTATTAATTTGGTGCCTGAAAGGAGAAACCTGCTGCTGCAGGGCCCACGGGTCAATCCGAATAAGAAATGCATACAGATTTTCCAACAAACGGGGCAATACGGTAAGTATTTGTTGGAGAACTGGATGTCATATTGTCTTTAAGGATTTAAGGATAATATATGGGAAATTGAAGGAAAATGTAGATCTCAATTACTTTTCTGTTTAACATCCCCCAACTCCAATCTAAAAGATTCCTCCTTTTTGTATTTTGATTTTTGGTGCTGACGGGTTTCTTCCACCTGTTGTTGTGCAAGTGGGTAAAGCAGAGATGACAGTCTTCCACAGAGCTGGCTGGATCAGGTGTGAATGTCTTTGGAAACATCCTACCTCAAGAACAAAACAAAGTAGTGAATGGCAGTGCCTCCTTGTGACTGTGATCTCTTTTCCAGGACAGTGTCCACAGTCCACGCCTTGGTGGTTGGTGGGTTTTGCCTGTATATTTTGTTGTACGATGATGCTGTTAATGCTGACCGTCTCTGGTAAGGCATGTTACATGTATCTTGTATTTACACAATTAAATAACATGTTAGAGAAGGAAAAAAATAAACCTGCAGTGCATTAATTACAGAAAGAACAGTGTCATTTCCCCTTTAAATATGCAGTTGTGATGTCCCAGTTTTTATATCTCTACTATTTCATAGTTACAAATTATTTTGTCAGTTTTAATGTCTTTAGGGCATCATCTCTTTGTGAAGTGGAACAGAGAAAATACAAGCAATCGATGTGAAATAGCATATTAGTTGCTCTTGGTTCTATGCTTTAGTAATTTAAGTTGGCATGACTGAAACTATGCTGTTTACTATAATCATTTTAAAGTGAAATTGAAATGCTGTTGCAGGTCTGGAGTGTGTGTTTAAGAAAGCTGAAGGGTCCTCTTGTATCTATAAAATATGTATGTCTGAATTGCTAAATTAAGATGTTTATATTTCTGCCTCTCATAAAGCTTCTATCAATCTTTGCTTTAAATAAAGTATGAAAGGTTCAAGTGCTGTCTTCACAAGCAATAGGAATATTTAATAAATGGACTTAGACTATTTTATCTAGTTAACAAAAGTTTCTGTATTAAGCTTATCTTTTCTTGGTTTCTAGTTATATTGTTTTGTGTCAGACTTTTTGAGGGAGGAGGAATGAGATACTTTTTTTTTAGTTGAGTTAATTATAGATTGCTATTAGGGTTTTGACATT